TGAATCTCCTTCGCAGGATTCCTACTTCGCCTCGCGTTTTCTGAGTGCATCTTGTCCGGCTGGCTGGGGGCGGACCTCCAGGAGGTCATATGTCGGTTTCTAGGCCCCTCAGAGCTGGTAGCTGGTCCCAAAAGGCAGATTTAGTCGCTGTTAATTCCAGGTGTCTACCGCCGCCTGACGACGTTGTCGCTCGCGTGCCGCTTGCGCTCCCTGGCGTATGGGATTGATCCTGCCCGCTGAGTCAGGGCCGTAGCCTCTGTACGCTGCCACTGGCGCTTCCTCGATCACCCTCGTTTCTGGTTCGCTCCTTGGCCAGGTCCCGCTCTAAAGTTCGTGTCTGCTCGTCTTCTTCGGTGTCCTTCGACAGGGTAAGCCCTCGGGGGGGAGGGGGGGAGGCGCCATATTTTACATAATAATAAAAAAATACAAAACAAAAAAGAAATAAGCAACTAAATCAAAACGAGATACGGTGTGCAAGTCCTGGAGGATCCTGGCGTTCTATACCGGCACACACTTCGGGACTCCCTCAAAGGATAATTTTTGTGGCAAGGGGGGAGCGGCGCGAACATCATGTCACAATATACAATATATATACAGGGTGTCCCGTAAAATATATATATAAATATATATATATATATACAGGGTGTCCGACAATTACTTTAAAATCTCTCGTAGGCAGGTAAAAGGAGTAAAACTGAGTCAAAAAGTCCTGAACCATTTTTTTCTATTACGTAAATAATAAAGGAGTAATTATTGAATAAATCAAGCCAATTAGCGCCGACCTTTAGCCGGGTGCACGTCAGTGAGTCGCGCTCACACACACCAGGCCCGTGGTTCACTGACATACGTTCGGCTAAAGATAGGCGCTGATTGGCTTGATTTATTCAACAATTACTCCTTTATTATTTACGTAATAGAAAAAAATGGTTCAGGACTTTTTGACTCAGTTTTACTCCTTCTATCTGCCTACGAGAGATTTTAAAGTAATTGTTAGACACCCTGTATATTTATATAACATTTTAAATGGAATGTTTTATGTTTTATAGTATATATTTGTAGCCGACATTTATATGTTTCTTAACTCTAAACCTACTTACGTCTACAAGATTTGATCTAATAATCGACGGATGACTATTTCATTTCTCAGCGGCAATTTGCCTTATTTTATCGTTTCTAAAAATTTTTTTAAATGCGCGCGAAATACACAAGTATAACCCTTTTACTTTATTTGAAATAAAGTTTAGGAAAGGCATTCTCAAAGTCAGTTTTAACTATTAAACCGAAATTATTTTTAATTTAGGTAATTTTTAAATAACAAAATTAAAAAAGAACAACGGGTATTGTGAATGAATATCATTGCAAAGATCTCGTCAGCGACTTCAAAACTATCACAAAAGGTTTTGCGACTGACAGAGAAATTGAGATAGAAAATATTTGTAGTAACAAATTAAGTTTGTAAAATAAATTATTATTAGTATTAAAATAAATTATTATTAGTCAAATAGTTAAATTTGTTATTGAAAATTAATTATGTGTGAATCTTAAATAAACTATTATTTTTAATGTTATTAAACGTTTAATGATTTACTATTTATGTTATGTTTTGATAAACGGGCAAAAGTAGAGACTCTGCGAGTTTTGGCTAGATAGAGAACCTGAGTCTGACACAAACTATTTGAAGATCGAATAAGTACTTTTATGGCCGGACAATTGCATTTAACCAACGCAAGTTTTTGACACGAGAAAAATGTCGATTCTTCGGAAGTAACTTCGGAAAACTGAAATATTTCTATGTTACATCCTGCGGACTCCACTTCCTTTCCGCGACGGGATTTGATATCTCCGGAATGCAGCCGCGCGATACTAGCGCAGATTCGGATATCGATGCCTGATAAAACTTTAAAAAACCTCAAAAATTTGGAAAAATATTTTTTTCCTTTCCTCTTTTGAACGGAAATCTACTTCTGGCGAAATCCGGGAGATAACAAAAAATCGGGTAATCTATCGCTAACATTTGATTGGTTTTCCGAGTCTCGCGGATAAAAGAAGAACCTCAAGCAACCTCGACTCAGTGTAAGAAAATTTTTCCTCGGTGCGTGGCGAGTTGATCGAGCGAGTGTGGCAAGCGAGTGACAAACGAGTGATTAGTGACTGAAATACAGGGTGTCTGACAACGAACTATAAAGCCGACGTGTGTAGGTAGATCGGGTCATTCTGAACAGAAAAGTTATATACCATTTTGCAAAATTCGCAATATTTATTGAGATATGAATTAATAAATGTGAACCAATGAAGGCGCGGGGAGCGACGATCGGACTCTATAGGCGTGCACAATTATCAGCTCTACTCCTCGCTCGCCGCTGCTCGCTGCGTACCGCCGAATAGCGCCCGATCACAAGAAACTGAGTCGTTCCGCGCTTGTTTGTTTACTCCTCTCGTTACTAAGACATTACATGAGAGAAGCCATTTTTCTTTTCATCTGATAATCGTGCACGCCTATAGAGTCCGATCATCGCTCCCCGCGCCTTCATTGGTTCACATTTATTAATTCATATCTCAATAAATATTGCGAATTTTGCAAAATCGTATATAACTTTTCTGTTCAGAATGACCCGATCTACCTACACACGTCGGCTTTATAGTTTGTTGTCAGACACCCTGTATAAGAGACTGCGTCCTCAGAGGTACATCTGCAAGCCATCGCCACCGATTCTCTCTCTACCGATTCTCTCTCACCGATTCTCGCTGCTACTGCCGATTAGTTATTGTTGTCGCTGCCGCAAATCTCACCAAAGTAGTAAGTAATAGAAATAAGACTCAAAGTTTTACAATCAATTAGTTGTGCCTCAAGGCGCAAAAAAATCTTAAGGAATAAAAATTGGAACGGTTGTTTCTCTTTCGACAAAAAATGAGCTATCGCCGACTTCGGATTGCGGACGATCCGCAAGGATTGTCAAGCGGTCCTCAACGTTGCTATCGCGTAAATTTTTAGGAGATATGCAATTGTAAGTCTGGGTAACAATCGTCTAAGTACGCTATACTAGCCAGTTAACCGTCGCGAACCTTTTAAGTAGAGGCGCCCGGCCTGCAAAGGCGGAGAAAATCGCAACGAGTAACTCAAAAATATCGTCGAAGGGCCGCCAAGAGAGCTCGCAAGCAGGCTGAGGTACAGTAGGACCCCTCTCCCGATACAGCGACTTGTTACTTCTCACCTGACGATCCCCGCGAAACTGAATCTAATAAGGATAGCATTAGTTTAGATATAAATGACAACACAATTACACACGCGTCTCGCACTCAGTCGCCTCCCCGCTTCCTCTCTTCATCACTTACCGAGCCTTTGTACACAGCGCGTCACTGAATCGCGGAATAAGCGCGCGGATCGGAGGGCAAGTGGGCCGTACGATTCGTACGGCACTTGTTGGCGAGCAACCGCCCCGCTTGCCCTCCGATCACGCACTTATTCCGCGATACAATGACGCGCTATATACTCTCCTATAGACCTCGCAGATGTATATTCTGCACCAACCTCTCCTCCTCGTCATTGTTCTCCTCCTTCCTCACCGGAGGTCGAGTTTCGAAGAACACCCTGCCAACTCCTCTCGCCCCCGCTCCCTCTCTCCGTCATTCTCCGACCCCTCGTATTCTCCTATAGACCCCGCAGACGTATACTCTGCACCAACTCCTCCCCCAAGGTCGAGTTCTTAGAAGAACAACCTCTTGACTCCTCTCGTTCTCGCCTTCTTCCTCGATTACAACATTTTCTCGCGCTAGTCGCCTTGTACAAAATAGCAAACTCTACCAAACGGTGTATTATGTCGTAGATTCTTACTCCTTCAATCTATCAGAACTCTTTCGCATAATCTCCTCCTGATGCTCTCATTACCGTCAAATTTCCTCTTCTCCGGAAGCCTCGCTTAGTCTCCTACTTCTATAAGATCTTTCTTTCTGGCACATCCAAAATCTCCGAAATTATCGAAGTTGACTTCAACTGAGCCCGCCAACATGCATCACTTACACCCACACATACCAGAAATATTTACAGTTATAACTTTTGTATAGCAAAGCTAATTGTTATAGCGAAAATTATGATAAATATTTACAATGAATATAAAACAATCACGCTTGTGATCATTTCGTGTTGATCTCATCCCATCATCCTGTATCTCAAAGGATCGTACAGTCTCATCCCAGGTCATTGAGATTCGCGTCTCAGGCCTAAAAGAAAGACACACGAGTGCGAGTCCAAAGAGCGACGGTATAATAGCGGCTCACGATTGTTGACCCGTCCGTCGGACTTGACAAATCTTGCTCGGCTCTCATACATGCCCGCTCCTTCCAAGTGTGTTGTTGAGAGATAAACAAAAATCGATAAGTGTTATGATTCACTCGTGCTCGACCGTTTCCAGGGGTCAGAACGTAACATCTACGACTAGTTTTTTTATAACCGGAGAACTCGAGAGCTCCGCATCAATTGCGCGATAATGCGTCATCTGAAGCATTTCTTATTTTTCAATTAACTGTAAGTATCGATTGTTAGCATTTGAATGCAGTTTGATTTGTATGAAAACCGATGTTTCTTTATTATCAAGCTCAAAAAATTATTGAATCTTGTTTGTTTGAATCTTAACCCGAAGCGCACCGAGATACCTTTGCATTCTCTGCAAGATATCGGCCTCAAAATATCGTACTTCTGGACTCCATAATTCGTTTGTTTATTGTTCACAACAATCGTGGTGCTCTCAAGTCGCAAAAAAGGCAAAGTTTACAGAACAGTTATACGTTGCAATTTTATTGTTTATGCATATTTTTCTTTTGAATTACGCAGATATGTTTGTCAAAATGTATAATATATTTTAACAGACAAAAATGTTAATTTAAAACAAATATTTTCTTGTTAAAATCTTTTGTTCTAAAGTTTACATAGTTTAAAAAAACATTTTACTGTTATTTTCAACTAGATATTCCCGTTTCTTTCTTAAAGTACTTACCGGATTCGCTGGACAAAAGACAATCAAAGATTGGTTTAATATAAAACAACGTAGGCACAAAGAACAACGACACAACTGACGACGAGGTAAACAACGTTGACGCTATATTGTACCAAATGACTCTGTACTTCTCATCAGAGTGTCGATACAACCCTTTGCTTGCATCCTCCCTCACGGCTGCTAATAAGGGCAACAATTTATCTCTTTTCCACCGGAACATCACGTTCTTCAATACGATTAACACACTCGGAAATGTGAATGTGATGTTCCTCATCATCTTCTCGATATCGTGCATATTTTGCACTAAGTTCGTTATCAGCAATAACGTACAGATAGTGACGTACGTGATGTAGAAAAAGAACCGAAAATCATTTTGATTTTCCGGCCAAAGACCGGAAACTGAAAGCAACAGTTTGCTACAAGACAGTACTTGCTTGTCGTAAAACATTTCCATCCGCAACCGCATAATTTTTAGTTAAATGTAACACGTCAGTTAAATTTATAAGAAAAGATTTGCGAATCGGAAACTAAGTTTTTCTTTTCCACTTTACAGAAACTGACAAGAGATAACTGTTTGTGTGCGTTATTACGATTCTTATTGCTTAGACATGCCCGGCATATGCGCGCATAAATAAAACTCGGAATTTTTTAAGAGACCGAATAAAAAGATACCGAAACACATCTCGGAGTGCAGAAACAATTTTCTCGGAATAGAAAAACAGCTAAACTTTGCACAAAAAACTTTATATATATCCGTCGTGATGGCAGTCTCAAATCAATACCGCTTTTTTATCAATCCATAATTGCACAGTTTGTGCTCTCGCGTAAGATATCGTGCGAAATTGCGCCAGCGGTGCGAATTGCTCACGTGACTTGAGCATGCAAGCTATCGAGAACAATGCAGGTATAGGTGGATCTGCATATCTTATGAGCTGCATTAAGTCGTATTTCAGTGTCGCAGTATAATATCAGAGATAATCTCACAAAAAAAAATAAAATTGTTGCATGTTCTGTTTGAACTTTAGTAGCAAACTATCAACTGAACTTTAATAACAAAAATATCAGTTTTCGAGCAGATGGGAGCGATTCACGAGTATCTACAAAATCTAAAATCTTTTTTATATCTCCAATTTGACAGATGTTATCGTCTTTTTTTTAAATCGTGTTTTAATAATGTTTTGATTGTTTATATAATTTTTCTCTATCTCTTTCTCGCTATATAAATAGGTTAACTCCGGGATTTAAGTCGCACCTAGTTTTATGCCGTATAGAGCAGAAAAAATAGAAGAAGTGAGGATAATTTACGTACAACTACTTTGTTACGTGTTATATATTAGTTATGTTATAATTAGTTATGTTATATTGGTTATGTTATATTAATATTGTGTTGTGATTTCAACTATTTATTGTTACTATTAACGAAACTATCATCAGTTTAGTCGATACGTCAACGTGATAAGTAGCGCAATTACATTTTACGGTATATAAAATAATTACTACAAGATTTATAAAACTTTTAGCGGTTATTTTGCGATATATAAGTTTAAAAAGATCATAAAGGATGGAATATGGCAAATTACAACTACGTAGCTTTTGTATTTTTTATTCAGCTAGCTGTCTTATATATCCTACCGGTTTGGGATATGTGGCAATTTTACCGTGTGGGATATATGCTCCGTACTGGAACGCTTGTGTCTGCGCGGGTATGAGCAGTACTTATTTTTATCTGGCGAGCTAACATCAGCATTCTCCTCCTATATTTTTGCTATTCTTGTCTGTTATTATAATTATTAAGACATAATGTTAATGCATAATATTAATGTATTTTATAAAAAGTATCTACAAAATCTATTTTACAAAAGAAGTGATATATAACTACTACAAATTTATCTACAAAATCTATTCTACAAAAAACGTGATATATATTATAATAATAAAGTAGTAACGTCACAAAATTGAAAAACTTTATATATAATTATAAAATATTTATGTACAAAATCAGAAACTTATGTAGACTTTATAGATCACGTTTTATATCCAAAGTACTGGGTGTTATAGATAACAAAACGATTTGTTAGTAAAACTAACAAGTAACCCATTAAAACTGTATTTTCCGTGATTATTTACAAAAACATTTACTAGAACACAGAAGTGTAACAAAAGCAGAAAGTTTTTTTTACTAAACAATATTTAATGCAAAACAACTTGGCGCGGCTGCAAAAGAAGGCCGAAAGCCAAGCTATATATATATATATATATATATATTTTAAATACAATTTATTTTTATATTTCACATATACAGGGTGTCCCAGAATTGGTTTAACATCGCTCGTAGGCAGGTAGAAGGAATAAAACTGAGGTGAAAAGTTCTATACCATTTTGCTAGATTCGCAATAGTTACTGAGATTTTAATTAACAAAGATCCGCGAATAAGCATGCATCGGGCTGTCTTA